CCACCTCTGAAAGTGGTCCAGAATAAACCAGCCAAAGAGAATTTTAAGGATTTTCAGGGTATATCTTAGCACCACGAATGAATAAGGCTGAGTACTCTGAGCCAAAGAAAATATGTATTTTGAAGATGCATTTTTCTAATTACTCAGTAAACATGGCATTTTGTTTTCCAAATAAAAAAATGGCACTGACATATACATTTGAACTGCACAAGAGTTCACTTCAACCAAACCGAGGCATGGGATTTTAGATGGACAGAAATTTGCTTTTTTGGTTGGATTGCGCCTTCACATCTCCCCAAACTATCCAGACTTTCTCGGCAAACAAACTGGAGTTTGAATGAAATGGACTTAACGGTGCTGGTGTGACTAGATATATTTGGTAATAATAAGAAGAACAATAGAAGAGGAAAGAGTTTCAACACAAATTATGTAGATGCGTTTTTCAGAAAAGCATGGACATTATGGATTTCTTAGTTTGCAGAACTGATCATTTCTTCTGAATTATTTTTAACTTTACACTTTTCCATTGGCTACAGCTCCCAAGCTTTGCATTGCTTTTTTTTTTTTTTTGTCTTTTATCCATAATAAGTCATGTCTCGTCCTATTATAGACTGATGTTACTATTCCGCTGGCAACTATTTACCTGACATTTTGCACTTGTTTAAATGAAGCTGTTGGTCCACAGTCTCACTGTAATTATGATGAAATACTAATTAGGAAGGCCTGACCTATGCAGCCATGCCCACGCTCTCAAATGTCTACTCCAGATGGCAGCAGGTACAAAAGATGCTTGTGAAAGAGACCTTTGTGCATTAGGACAGAAAGGACCTGTCCTACTGGAACATTAAGATTCAAAACATGCCTCAGTCACTAAAGATTTTAAATTAGTAATCTGGACAGTGTTCAAAAAGGTTTTGTCGATTGACAGACAAAAAAGATAAAATGTGCATCATTGCATATCCAGTTGTACATTCATGTTTATTTCAAACAGACAGGAATTTTCTGCACCTACATCCATGGAAATCTGGATCATTTAGAGTAAAGTTTCTGACGTACAATAAAGATCCATTGTGTTTAAGACTAATGGAATATCCGGCTTATCAGCACAGAATAACGGGTTTTTAATTGTGCTTTGTTTTTTTGTTTTTTTTTTGTTAAGAGACACCTTATTACATGAAATTAGGTTTTCATATAGTTCCATAAATGTCTATTTGGTTAACGTTTGTGTGGCACACTGTCCCAATCAGGAACTTAAAGCATTTTTCCAACAACAAACCCTGAAATAAATGCTATCCTCAAAAAGAAGAAAAGCTATTTTCTTTGAGAGAAGAAATGTTCAGATCAGGGAACAAGGAGGATGAACACTCTCACCTTTGCGACGCATGATGCCCCATAAATGCTAATTTTAGGACATTTCGATTTATTAAATTTTTGCTTTAACCTACTGTTTGTGTTACTTTTAGATTTTAACTCCAAATACCATGGGCCAAACCTTCCTTTAGTACTTGAGGTTCTACAGCAGTATCCTCATTTTATCTATGGCTGTTCACCTCCAGCTACAAATTGCAGGTGCTGTGCTGAAAACGCCCCGGCAGTAACTTCAGTTGAGAGCAAATAATGAAGCAGTGCAGCAAATGATGTTTACCAATGCTTTGTGACCTATTAGAGCCATTGAAATTACACTTTCAACTAACAAAAGGAACAAAACATGTCGCTGTCAAAAACTACAAAAAGTTTAGCGCCATTAGAGCAGAGGACACAGAGATGAGAGACTTCTGAGAAAGTAGGTTGGAGAGTAAACCAAGCTGCAGATAGGCTGTACCTCCGGCTTGAAGAGTGTTCCTTAGGTTGACAGAGGGGACCATTTCTTACCAACGTGATAGAGCCCAACCTAGAGCAAAGGAACAGATTGAAGCAGCATATTTCCCTCCCTCTGCCTGTAGCGCTTTAAGCATTTTATACTTTGCTTTAATGGAGCAACTTCAGGAACTCAAAGTCAGAAGTTGTGTCAGTGGCCAAATCACCTTTGTGTTTGGGACCGGTGGAAAAAAAATAAAATAAAAATAATAATAATCTTGACAAAAATTTGATGGTTGAAGGGCCCAGTTCTGAAGCATCTGCGATTGTAGTTTTTCCAAGTTAAAACAAAAGAAATTTAGATCTAGAAATGACAAAGTCCATGTTTCCTTTGAACAACATTTCACTTTAATTTTGTGTGTGGCTCCAAATCCAGGCCTCCATTGGTTAATAAATTTGATTTCCCTTGATGATTTTTGTGGGATTTTGTTGTCAGCACATTCAACTTTGTACAGAACAAAGAATTCAATGAGAATATTTCATTCATTCAGATCTAGGATGTGTTATTTGAGTGTTCCCTTTGTTTTTTTGAGCAGTGTATATGGACTTACATGTAGCAAAACTAAGTTCTCAGTAATTAGATCATCATCTACACCTGTGCTGAATGTTGTAAGTAGAATGTTAAAATTATTAGTTAAAGGGATTCTTTTTCTTCCCCATTGTGTTAAATGACCCTCCTCACGAAGTGCTTGTCAGAATGGCTTGCAGCAAATTCTAACAAAAGCACTGAAGAGAAAAAGCTTTCCCCGTTGTTTATGTAGTGCATTTCAGCCACCCGGTAGAAAAGAAGAAACACTGAGTAAGTAAAAAATAAAGCAAAGCTTAAGAAAATGTAGGTTAAGTATGTGTTTTTAGGTATCATTGTTAAAAGGTGTACACATGAGTAGTTTCAAGTAAAAGCCAGCTGCAGTTCCCTCCAACAGGCTTTCAGTATTCTTTTGCTTTTCTTGTTTTTTTTTTTTTTTTTTCTTCTATTGTCATCCTTCTTCAATAATATATGCCACATATGCTTGCTACTGAGTCTAATGTTTGTGGTGTGGGATTTACGTTGGATTAAACTTCAAAAGAATGGCTGGCAATCTATTGTTTGTTACTGGCATGCTACATTCCCAATACGGGGCCTTGTTTGCAGCAGTTTCTGTTTCTAAGAAAATATAGTTCCAACAGTATATAATTTCATTTCATTTCGGCATTGTGTGAAATGTATGCTTTTGGAAGGGCATTGATTTCAAACATTATGCTTATTTTTTTTTCCCTTATGACTCTACTCGGCCACAATAATGTCAATAATGAGTTATTTAGTCAAAGCAGACATCCTGTTTGCCTAAGAGATTCGAGACACATAATTTCTTAAACAATTGCGAATGAATAAATTATATTCTTTGTTAAATAATTTGGTCTTGATGAACAATCTTTGTGTGTAAAATCAAAGGAAGACTGTTTTTTCCTGATTTTGACGATGTATATCATTTCATTATGCTTGGCTGAAGACTTCTTTGTCATTTCTCAATCAGCACCAATTATAAGCACTTCATCACCACCTCAAAAGGCTACGGATAGTGGTTCATCAAAATATGCCCTCTCTTTCATGGGTACAAAAACACTTGTCCAGCATTTCCAGGGTTCTGAATGCATATAGACAGACAATGACCCAATCTAAATGTGCATAAAATGCTTCCTCTTATCTTCACATGCCTGTGGTTAACATAGGAGTACGACTGAGAAAAATAAAAAAAACGCCGATCATCAGTGCTACACTGCCGTCAGACACAGGCCAAAAGCGTCTGGCGTACTTGAACAAATATTGGATAGTTTTAACAAAACAACGGTTCAAAAACTGTGAACCAATTTGTTGGCTGAGAAAAGAAATTTGTTGGCTAATTTTTTTTGCCATTTTGAACTACACAACAAGGTACCTTTGACATTTGCTCCAAAGATAATGCCTAAACTTTTGCTGCAGTGTGACAATGACAAATACATATTTCTCTCTTGTATATGACCTTTTGTTTGATCAGACTTCTCTAAACCCCTTTCACATGATGTATCTAATAATGTTATCTAGTCTGTTGTCTGTAGCTAAATTGAATTACCCAGCATGCACTTCTTCTTAAGACTGACTATTCTTTTTGTGTAATCTGAAATCCTGCATAATCTGATGACAATTCTTGACATTATCAACCCTGAAATTGCTGTTGCAGCTGAGGAGTTTATGGGTGGAGTTTGTGATTAACCATTTGCATGTACTGGGGCTTTATGTGCTATTTTTAAGACTAGAGGTGGTTTTAGTTGTTTAGAAATTGCAAGGCTAGACCTCGCCTATGTTATAATAATTTATAAAATGCAAGAATCATGTGGATAAAGAGAGATCATTGATTCTAACCCAAATATCACTTGTTCAGTAATCCCAATTTAATTATTCTATTCCAGTCACTCTTTGAAGCCTTAAAATTAAATACCACTTTAGTAATTAACCAAACCTCATACGCTACATCAAACCCATAACCAAACTCTTTTGTATTGGGACAATCCAGGCCAGGATACGTCCATTTGACCCAAGGCTGGTTTAGCAAAATCACCAAAGTGTGTTGTTTTGCCCAACAGGTTTGGGAGTTTCTATTAATAACTATTTACTCTACATTCTTATACATGCTTGGGAAAGAGAGAGAAAAAAAAACCCTCAACATTATTTAAATTAACTTAATAAATACATAAAATATTTTGACTGAAAAAAAAAAAATTGTATTAATGTTTTTCTCTAGTTTATGTTCTATGAACTGTAAAGTCTGATTCTGCAATGAAGCTCCAATACTGTACGCAGCAATGGTTTTAAAATGGCATCTCCAAAACAAACAGATTTTACAAACATGCATGCAGCATGAGATGAAGTGCAACAGTAGTTTACAATATCAAGAAACAAAAAAAAAGTTAGTAAAAGTAAGGTTCAAAAATATCCTTGCACCTGTCATGGATGTTTTGTTTATATATATATATATATATATATATATATATATATATATATATATAGTATCAACGCTTGTTTTTATGATTAAAAAGTTTTGAAGATATTGCTTAAATTGAATGTGCATGAGAAAAACAAAATCAACATTCTCTTAGTATAAACATCTGAAACTGATTTTACTCACCAGTGAATTTTGAATCACAGTTCAGAGCAACCTCATCGTGTCCCGTCCCGTTTCTTGCTCCCAAACTTAATATAATGGGAATAGGCAATGAGGGATTGTGACATAAAAAAATGCAGCAGGCCTATTTGGAAAGGAACTTTTCATTGGTGGTAACTCCATGGACACGTATCCGATAGATTGGGTGCAGAGCTGTGAAGACCATAAGATGTTCCTGAAAAGTGTCAAGGAGATTCATTTAATGCGCTGAAGACTTTCTGAGTCCACTGCCGGTACTAATGCTTGACCTGTGCTGAGATAGGCACCAATTGTCATTCAGGCCATGCTCTCCGCTCACATGGATATTCCTTCAAATTAAGCCAGAGGAAATTGTTTGAGTATCTAAAGAAAAACTGAAGGGTACAAGGCAAAGCTGGAAAAACCAAGATAGTATTCCAGAAATGATATTGGTGGTGGCATTGGAGAGGTGTGTTGCTTCCAATCTTTATCCCCTGATCCTCTTTTTGGCGTCCAACTTGTCTCCAGCAGTGGTGGGGGGCAGAGAGTGATAGAGCAGTGGTGAGTACTGCTGCTGCTGCGTTCTTTCTCCTACCAGCAGTCTCTGCTCAAATAAATGCCTGGTCTGTCACAGTTCTCTGCTGCAATGCATTAGATTCATCCTTCCCCTCATGCACTCCCTCTCTCGTGCTTGCCTCCTCCCTTCTTGCTCGCTCTTATTTGTTCACTTGAGCTCAATCACACGTGAGAAGACACAGAGGGAGAATAGAATACAAATAAGCTTTCTTAACGAACTAGATGTTCTTGGATTTGATGTATTTTGAGAAGTGTGAATGAAGGAGAAACCGGTTTGAGTTTACGTGGTCTATGAGTCACTCCCTGTCTTGACTGGGAGGGAAGACTAAGTCACTGCGCAGTGGTATGAGTGTACACCTTTTTTTTTTCTTTTTTTTTTTAATGGGAAACAAATAATTTTAAATAACTACCTGTAGCTTAAATATTAGCAGAAAAATAAATAAATGAGTTGATATATATAT